TGTGTCTCCCTCTCTCTGACCCTCCCCCGTTCATGCTGTGTCTCTCTCTGTCTCAAAAATAAATAAATGTTAAAAAAAATTTTTTTTTAAATAAATAAAAAAAAAAAAAGTCCAGGACTTTGGTCTGCTATTTGTATTGTAATATTGCAATACTCAACTGTGTTTTGATCAGTATTTGCCTGGCATATCTTTTACTGTGCTTTTTAATTTCCATTCTCCTGGGTCATTTTGTGTCAGATATTTCTCTTGTGAGTAGTATATAGCTGGATTTTTTTTACCCAACCTTACAGTCTCTGTATTTTAAAAAGCGAGGTTTTTAAAATCTATCTGATTAATTTCTGCCATCTTATTTTATCTTTTCCATAAATTATTCTTCTTTGACTTGTTTTTCTTTTCCTGCTTTCTATTGTGTTAGTAAAGCTGTTTCTTTTTTACTTTTCTCTCTCCCCCCGCCATTAGATCGGAAGCTATGACAGAATCTGTAACTTCTTAGAATTCCTCTTAAACATTAAACATACATATTTAGCTACACATTTTTTTTTTATTGAAGTATAGCTGACATACAATGTTACATTAGTTTCAGGTGTACAGGACAGTGATTTCGACAGTTCTGTACATCATGCAGTGCTCACCGTGGTAAGAGTAGTCACCATCTGTCACCATATAAAATTATTACAGTTGACTATATTCCCTATGCTGTACTTCTCATCCCCATGACTTATTTATTTTATAACTGGAAGATTGTAACTCTTAAACCCCTTCACCTATTTTACCCATCTCCCTCCCCCTCCTCTCTGGCAACCATCAATTTGTTCTCTGTATTTATGAGACTGTTGCCATTTGTATATGTCACGAGCACGCTATGAAGGTACACACACGCGTTATATGTTTCCACAATGTCAGCTTTATTCAGTCACAAAGCAAGGTTAACATGATTATAAAGCAGGTTCAGGATTCCAAACTCAAATGACATTTCACCATGTGATTAACTTGGCTTCTTACACAACACACAGAGCAAAAGACATAGACAAGTCACACAACAAACATAACATAGTGGGTAGGAAGTTAACGAACCAAACTTGAAGTCAGTCTGTGGGTGTGTAGTTGAGATAAGGCCACAGTCCAGTCCAGTCTGGTCCGGGTCAGCTCTCAGCACTTACTGCTTATTCTGTTCAAGCCTCAGACGATCCCAGTTCTGTTCAGAGATCAATCGGACAGAGCTTTCGCAGATGCTGCCTTTTTGAAGTGGTCAGACATAGAGGGGTCAGTGTCTCCTCAATGTCTGAGGAGTGACATTTTGCTGCAAAAATCTTCCCCTTTTAAAGGGATTTAATCAGTCTTGGGCCCCTGCACACCTCCTCTGCTTCTGCTTGTTATCAGTTCTGGGGTGTGGTCAGCTGGTGCTGGTCTGGCTGTTACCTGGTAGCTACAGTACCCTTACATGTTTGCATCATTGCTTGACACAGGCCCCTGCTTGACATGAGTGACTCCAT